AAGAAAAGTACATTCGTAGCACAGCTGTCAATGAAAATTTTAGTAGACGGGCAAAGGAAGGTTTCTTTGTACTCCGTTCAGCAATAACGCATGGCTAGACAGAAGTGCACCCCCTCTTTATCCGCTTAGCAGCGATCGCGGCGGAGGCGCAGGCGGAGGCAGAAGCCGCTGGCGAGCGCACGCAGAGGTGCGGGGGCGTCAGGGCAGTGCCGTGGGCGTGAGCCGCTAGCGCCGTTTGTCTTTTCCGTCGTGAAATCTGGCACGCGGCGTTAATGGCTTCCTTGCAGCGCTCCGTCTCCTAGAAAAGCGCCGGTGTCAACTCGCGTGTCGGCGCACGCAGGCCGCCTTTCTTTGCCTTTCCCACTGCGCGTCATCTGTCGCGACATTCCGACCCACAATCTAAGTAGCACGGATAGTGCGGAGCTGCACGCCCGATTTGTACTAACTGGGTGGATAGGAAAACGTGAAAATTACGACATTCAGATAGCACATGATTTTCATGGTCCACCAGTTTTTTTTCTGTTTTTTTTTTTTCGTTCATACGTGGGTCCAGCCGTCATGAAAGGAGAGCCCACAAAAAACGCTGTTACTTTCATGTAAAAATTTACTGGTCACTGTATTTATCACTAGTAATTCGAAAATATTAAATATATTATAAGGGACCTGATAGCCGTGAAAGTCATACGTTTCCTCCGTCGCCAATATCCATAGAGGGGTGCAGAACCCATCACAATTGGCGAAACTGAAAAAAATAGGAAGAAAACGTACTGAAACACTTGCAGGTCCAAGGGAGCAAACAGTCCCCTCGTCGATTCCCCGAAACAGCTCCGCCGAGAGCGCAGCGGCGCGTCGGAGCGGAGCGACCGATTGCTCGCGCGGGCAACGTCCCGACGCCCCCGACGCGCCGCGGCCCCGTGAGTCACTTGTCTGCGGTCGCGCGCCCGCGCCACGCGCTAATAAACGCCCAGGTGCTGCGACGGGCAATCCCAGGCGCGCGGCCCGGATCATTCGGGGCACGCCGCCAGGGGGCGGCTTCGCAGGGCGTTACCGACAGTTTGGTTGTTTTCAGCCGCTGGCCACGCATCTGAACAGGCGAGTTCTGCGTTACTCTGCTATTGATGAATCGAAACACAAGCGTTCCAATGTACTTAATAACGAGGGGTGGTCAAATTTTCTTGTTATTGCTGCTAAGAATGTAGGCGTTTATATTGCGTATTTTACTTTCTGTTCTTCATTTTTACAAAAATGTACAAAGAAGTTTGTAAAACAATTCTTTAAGGTTTTTGTCCACTTGATGAAGATATTGAAGGCACTTTGCTAAGTACATGAGCTGTTGAGTCTGAGAGTGATTACAAGAAGTAATTTGCGGAACCAGTGAGCGAGGGAACTAGCGTACCTGATCATAACGAGTAAGAACAGCGTTCTATCCATGTAAACCTCCGGTCGTTTTTGCTATTTCTAATTAAACGTCCCGATCCCCAACATCTATTCTTTCACCCCCAACCGCCAGCATTCACATCATCCACGGCCCCGCGCGTTTTCCGCCGTCGGCGGGCGCGCGTTCGCGTGTGCGGGTCACCGCCGTTGCCCCCCGACGCCGCCACTTCAGGCGCACGTCATTGTGCGGCGGATACATGTCAAGGGCACGGCGATTCCGGGCCGGCGCGGGGCGGCCCGGCGCGGCGCGGCGTCGGGTTTCGATTTCGCAGCTTCTGTCCGGCTCCGACAACACACACCGCCGCCACGCCCCCCTCCTTCGCGCCGCCGATCTTTTAATGGCGCATTGTGTACTCGCGAAATTCGCCACGGCCATGCGGCGCGCGCGGCTCTCCGGCCCGCCTTCATCCAACTCGCCGTGTAATTGGGGTCTGCTTGGAGGCAGGGCGCGACCTGCGCGCCAGCGACCGCCCCGAAACACCCGCACGGCGCGGCGCGGCCGCTCCTGTAGCCGCGCGTATAAACCTGAGAAGGCGATCGTAAATCGCGGGCGGCGGGGTGAACGCACCGCCGTACGCCGGCAGAACGGGACGCGCGCAATTGGGCGTCTGGGAGATGCCTGCTCCACATGCATGCCTGCCTGCCTGACGGGGACGGTTACATAGTTTGATGTATAATTGAGGACGAACATATTTCAAAAGAATAAAATAAGGCACAGAAAAACCAAATTATTGGATCAAAATATGCGTGATTTTTTTAAAATGCGCATACTACAACTTGCATTCTTTTGAATAACCAAATAAAATATTAAGAAATAAATTAAACATTATTCTCAGTACCATTTACTACTAATAATCTGTTATGCCTGTAAGGATTTTAGTTTATCTTTTGTCGTATTTTACAGAATTGGTTGAAGGAGGGAGTGCTATTAACGTGAAAACTACCTTCACTCTACATAAAAGATAAGGGCTACAATACAGTGCAATTAACTAAACATAAAAGCTCACCCGTTCCTGTATTTCTGTTAGCAATATGCTCACCCGTTCCAGTTTTGTGTTAGTTAAGGTTCGATCACTTCAACTGTTAGAATCCCTAGCGCAGAGTCCCATGTCGAGCATCGGGCCGCGGCCCAGAGGCCGTCGCTCGCGCTCGCGCACGCCCTCCCGCGGCGCGCCTTATAAATAGAGGCCTCTCCCGTTCGCCCAAAAGGAACGAGGCGACGGGCGTCAGGTGGACGTGTGATTCATTCTGGCGGCGGTGGCGGCGGCGGACGACCTACAGGCCTCGCCGTAAATCTGCGCTTGCAGCAGTTGTCGAAGAAGAAGGGAATATAGGAAGTGCTGCTGTGCGATAGTAGTGTGAACAAGTAGTTATTTAGAATTTTTTCTTAACTGTTTTGCTTGATGGCTGTTGATGCGGTGTGGAAGGCAAGTTAAATAGTTTGTGTATAACTTAGTGTTCGTTTAAACAAATTAGAAGACGTGCGAAATGTTTTCTCTCAGCCTTTCGTTGCCTTAGTTACAGGGGAGATTCGAAACTTTGACCCTATTCTTTCTAAACAGATGAATTTCAAATGCGTGAAACAATTATCGCACGGTGTTTTCAATTGTTGATAGTGGCGCGTGGAACTCCGGGGCACGCTATACAACCAATACCTCCTTCAGATCAATTTTTAGAGAGAAAGAGAGTAAGAGGAACGATGACAAATAGAAAATAAGAGGACTCGACGCGGAAAGAAAACGGGCAAAAGAAAAATCACGGCGAGTCGGGAAGAAGCCGCTATTCCTGGAGTTTGGCATCCCTTCGCCCGTTCGGAGGTGGGAGATGACGCGTCGCGGGGACCGGTGGATTGAGCGAGGCAGGAATCCATATGTTTGCTCAGCTCCAGAGCGACAGCGCGGAGGCGCGAGGGCCAGGCCGGGCGCGAGTCGCCCCGCCTCCGCCTCCGCCTCCGCCTCCGCCTTCGTCCGCGTCGCCGCCGCGTCCGGACCGACAACAATAGGGCTCTAAGTCCGCGCTTTCGACCGGAAAGCTCGTAAATCTCAGACGGAGAAGTTTTAAGAAAAGTTCGATTCGGCTCGGTTCGGTTTAAAACCGACGCTCTTCTTCTTTATTCTCGACGCGTCTATAAGAAGATTACCGGGACGCCAAAAAAATTATAATATCCATTACTGCCAAATTACGTGTTCCGCCACACGTCCTCCGCCGCCATTTTTCCCTTTGTTCTGGCTGCGGCGGGGCCTTTGTCTGGGGCGAGCGCGATGGGCGACGCACGTCGACTGTTTACTGCGATACCGAATACCCCTGTCAAAGACCGATCCAGAACATCTATAACCGCCAACAGCGTATGAAAGGTCTCTTGGAACGGCGCGGAAAACATATGACGTCCGGGGGACGTTGGCAGATTTGATAAATAGCGCTGGACGAAGCGGCGCACCTATATCGCATTACAGCCTGCATCCGACATAGCAATCGAACAGCTAATCAACACATCGCGTCATGTGCTGCTGGAATGCGGGGCTGTTTTACTTTGCTCGAAATAAAATGGAAACCAGTTGGCCTGCTCCACCCGTTCCTTAGGGAGCCAACATGAGAATAAAAGTAAACACGAGTCAGCTACGAATTGACCGAGGACGTTTTGTAACTCCAGCTGTGCGAATTAGGAACTAAGAAAAGGATGGGAACGAAAGTTATATAATAGAATATATAATTCTGTGGGAAAAGGGGAGGCGTTTGGCACACAAACGAGGTTTCTACATTACTGCACACACTTGAGAGTAAGCACTCGAAGTTTCGAGTATTGGACTTCTCCGTTCATCTCCGTGCCCTTTGCAACATTCGCTACTCGACGGCACTGAAGTGTTGCGATGAGAGGCAAACAAATAGTAAGCGAGGAATCGAAAATATCGACAGAGACTCGTTGAGCTTACGAGAGATTATTCATGAGACAATGAACTGCACTGTGGGGAATATAATTAATAAGCTCTTCAGAATTATATTATTGGTAAACGTAGAGAAAAAAGTAAAATAAAAATTACCCTCTCAGAAGTTTGTTTCCCAAACAACTTGCAAATTCGAGAGAGCTATATGTATTATGAGAAAACGTTAGTCATGAATAATAGGCATGGTGACCGTAAACGGTGTATACAGTTGTATTGCAATATAGACAAGCGTTACAGAAGTATTCAGAACCTTTCAATAACATTTGAAGTACTAGTTCATTTGTTTGAATCTTTCATACAGCGGAGCCTCGATGTGATATATGAAAAATGTCTTAATAAAGAACTGAAATTAGAGACACCGAAGAATTCAAGATATCAAGAAATTAAAGATTTTAAAAAAATTCCAGGTAAAGAGGAATTTGAGATTCGAAAAAAATTAAGTTATTAAGAAATCCGAGATCCCGCGGAATTAGATGTATCGAGGAATTTAAGTTTTGAGAGGCTCGAGATATAAAAAAAATTGAAATGGCTCGAATCAAGTTTGCGAGGATCCACCGTATTGAAAGTATAAGGTATTTTGTGTAGTGAGAGAGAGAGATGAGATTGGTCGTCGGCGCCTACCTCCTTCTCCTTGGCGGCGAGCTCCATCTCGAGGCCCGCGGCGCGGCCCACCACGTGCTCCACGCCGCCGCCTCCACCGTCTTCGCCGCCGCCAGGCTTGCCCTTGGCGCCGGCCTCACCCACGGGCAGGTGCAGGCTCTGGTTGGCGGACGCGAGCTGCTCCTTCAGCGCGCTCACCTCCTTCTCCGCCAGGGTCGCTCGCTGCAAGCCAACCGACATTGTTGCGTCACAACACCCGCCATTTTGCCTCTTTACAGCTCACTTAACCTCAAATTAGTGATGGAGAATCAATCGCACACATACATCATTGAATACATAACCAACACTTTCACTCTGACAGTTTTGCAAACATTTTCGTAAGAATTTGATAAAGAATCTCAGTGCTTAAAATTGTCCATCACTAATTCAAATCAAATTATACATATTCAGATTACACACTTCACTCGGCTTACAGAGTAAAAGAAGACGTTTCAAATTCTGGGATGTGATCTATCTTTTTTATACAAAAAATACTATCGCCAAGATAGATCATCGGCTTCTATTTTTCCTTACTAACTAGCATGACGCATCCACAATTTAGTTTCATTTCAAATAAAAGTTGCAATTAGGATGAAGAAAAAAATGTATGATCTAATTTTCAGTTTAAGTATTTTTATCCAGACAAAAATTAATGACTCAATTGCTAATAGGTTTTGGGCATGCGTCCAACTATTGTACAATAGCAAAGGTAATATGCTGATGTGATTATTTTATGTCAGGACAATACATAAACTCATTTGATGGGAGGAAATTTTGCGAAACCGGGCCAATTTTACTAAAGAGTCGAGCACCGGTTATCTGCCATTTATTGAAAACGTTGGGTAACGAATTTAATTAAGATCGAAAACAAGCGAAGTACTAGCCGGCGATCAAACATCGAACGAACTTTAATTTCTCCGTCTGACGTACAACGTCAGCCAGTATGTATAATGTAGAGCACATCCCAGAACTCAATTTCCAAGCGCATGCAATTTCGACACGCATTGAACCACGCCACTTCATGGTAAAGCATTCATGCAATCCACTTCGCGGCTGCGGAACAGGCAACCAAGTGGCGCGTCTTGCGTAACAGGAGCAGATCGACATGCTATGTTAGAAAACACGTTCACGGCAGGATATGTTATGAGCTCGCAGCAATAGCTTCCTTCGTATACACAAATTCTCAATCCAAATATACAGAGTCGGAAGAGACGGCGTATATACACCTCTTGCCTAACACACCAGAAGAGAGAAGGAAGAGCTTGGGTAGTGAGGAGGAGGAGGAATATGTTTCTCGGGAAGAGGATAAAGCAAATAAGTTTTGTTGTGCCTGCTCAGGTTGTGGTGATCCCTCAGCGTAAACTGTTCTTCGTAGACTTTACATACAAATTCCAGGAAAACGATGTAACAGTTCCAGTAGCTTAGCGCAAGCCTATAAAACTCATCAGCACGAACGAACGTGATACGCACCCAAACGCGCCCTACAACTTTCTTCGTTAGCATACGTTCATCGCGCAAATTCCAAAACGCCTCAAAAAAGCCCCCAAACAGGAAAAACACTCTTCGCGGCGCGCAATAAACGCCTGCAGTGAGATCGCGCGCCGCACCGCATGCGCGCCAGATAGGCGGGTCGTAAAGGAGACTCGCAGAGATACGCGCGTTGGCATCCACGCGCACGCGCGGGAAAGAAGCGCGGGGAGGCGCGGGGAGCGAAGAGGCGGCGAAGGAGGGGACGTGGCGGGGCGGGCGGGGCGGAAGGCGCAAGGAGCTCCGAACAGCCTAGAGAAACCGAGACGACTGGGGGTGCGCGGGACCCGGCGAGACACTGCTGATTCGAAACGTTTGGCCTGCAAGGATAATACGAGTTCGACGCCGTAATCCTTAGTCCTACCCATTTGCTGCTTAGGACGCGCTAAAGCCAGTTAGGACGGAGGGAGCGGAGGCAGCGTGGCGCGCGTCGCTCAGCTCCCCCCCCGCCCCGCCCCCGCCCCCGCCGGGCGATCGCAGATATGGAAGGCCTTTCCGTGAGCCTGCCTGTTTGCCGGAATGGTATTGAGGACTCGTAACGGGATAAGCATACACGCGGGGCGAAAGGCTTGGCTGGGACTCGGGACTGGGGTTGGGGTTGGGCTTGGGCTTGGGGATGGGCCGCGCTGCTCGGCGACGCGTCGCGACGCGTCGCGCGCAAAGACGAGGCTGTCGCCGAGAGCTGGCGCTGGGTCGGCGCGGAGGCTGCCGGGAGGAGAGCGGGCAACGGAGGCGGCGAGGCGGATCAGAGCAGGCGGAGTGACACCTGGGGAAGAGGTGAGGACGCAGAGCTCGGAACAAAGTAGAACCGGGAAAAGAGAGAAGGGAGTAAGAACGAATTTGGTGAGGGGAGTTATACGTTGAAACGAACATCAACTTTACTTCTGTATCTGTGAGTAGAAAAAAATATAGAGAAAATAATGTTTATTGAATTTATGTTTCAATTGATAATAAAAAAGAAAAGAATAACACTATAGTGCAATTGCAGAAATGAAAATTACAAAACAGAAGAAGATTGAATGAATAGCATAGTGGCGAACTTTGTGATCACTGATTTTACTACTTGCAATGCTCTTATGACATTTCAATGATTGGTGGAATCCGAAATGAGCTTCTTGGAGCAAAGACGACGTATGGCTCTGACAAGTGTGATGGTGAGGGAATTGCCAACCTACAGGCATCTGCGAACGGCGTGTTCGCAAGGTGAGGAAGGCGGGGGCGGGTCGAACAGGTAGCCGGCAGAAGGGAGTGCAGAGCGCGTGATCCCCTCCAGCAGCTGTACGGCGCCGATTGATACTTAACGGAATTGTCCCGGCTCAGCGCTCCCGCCCGCTCTCGCCCGCTCCCGCCCCCGCCTAACGGCCTCGTTCGCCAGCTCAAGGAGGCGCCAGGAAGACCAGCCCGCCCCGGCGCTCGCGATTGCTCAGGAACGGCTCGCGAACCGTCTCGGGAACCGAGAGATTTGAATCCGTAATCTATACGAACGCCTCGCCTCGCCTCACTCTCCGCCGTTCCACGTTCCCATGGAAAACAGCCTTGTTCCGTTCGCGGTACGAACAACGTCACTTCTCTTCTTTTTCTTCGCAAGCACGTGGGTTCAACATGTTCTCTTAATGCAGAGCTGATCTTAAACCGTCAGAAGTAATCGTACATGACAACGAGATGAAACTTTTTAAGTCTTCATCCACCTCATCCACGAGTCACGATTCTTTTGAATGACATCATAATTTTGAATTACTCAAACATTGTGCGCTGTTGATTCTGGATTCGCTCGGCGAGCACAACGCACGGCCGTGGCTCTGCGCAGGTGGACCGCGTCACGCGTCAAGGAGAGCTCCTACAATTTCACAAGTTACGAGATGCCTCAACAAATTATACGCTACTTTGCATGGCTTATGTAACAATTCTTTAAGTGGACAACTAATAAGAACTCCATGTGTAACGATACGCGGATGTAAAAAAGAATGATAAAAATGCCATTAAAAACAGACAAGAAGGACAAAACGGAGAAATTAATAAAGAATAGAAATTAATGTTTAAGAAAGGCGGAGGATAAAATAAACTAAATGCACGGAAGACGTTACAAGAAAAAGAAATGCAGGATGAGCCAACATTTGACACGAAGTTGGCTGTCCTTTATCAATTATCACACGTGCATTCTTCCATTATTTTTGTTCTTTTCAGCCACGGCTGACTGTTCTTCGGGGATCCTTAGTTGTCGTGCGTGAAGCCGCCCCCGCCTGGCCGCGCGTGGTCGAGGCCGCGGACTGCTGGCCGAGCGAGCTCTCTCGGGAGCTGCTCCTTCATTCATAGGCCGTCAATCCCAGTGACGGAGTCCGAAATCGCCCCGGGCGCCAGGCGGGCGGGCCGGCGGGCGGGCGGCTGTACATCACGCGGCTGTGAAGGCGCCTTGTTCGCCCGCGCGGCAAAAAGCCGCCAGAGGACGTGGGGCTTGTGATCCTCGCTGCCCCCCCCCCCCCCCGCTCCTCCTCCACTGCGTCTGCTGGCCCCACTAGGACGGTTCGCGGGTTTTGGAGTTGCGATCGCGTCCATGGCGCCGTTCTCACATCGTGCTATCAAGAAACTCACCGACATTCCACCTTCACCACATCGAATCCTGTCATTACTCTTGCCACTGTCCAATCTCGTTAGCTCCCAAACCTCCCCGCACATTCCAGATTCCCCACCCCCTTCTTCCGATATCCCCCCACCCCTCAGTCGTTTCCGCCCCGCCCGAGGAGAGCTTCGGAAATTTTATAGGACTCATAACAAGAGCGCGACCGGTCAATTACAAGGCCCCGCGCTGTTTTTACGCGTTTAGTGCCGATTTACGATTGGGCACGACGCCGAAGACGCGGCATCGGGATGTAGCCAGGCGAGCAGCAAAAATACAGGACGCGATGCGCGGCGGCGGTGAGCGTGATTGCGAGGCAGTGGATTCGACCATCGGTTGCTTCACGCCTGCTGACGCCGCCTAGCGCTCCCGCACCCGTAAGGCGTTCAAGTTACTTTTCCCACAATTTGTGGTTTGTTGTAAATACAATGAGAACCGTTAAAAAAATAGCACATCTTAAAAATTCTTTAGTGGAGTTAAGAATGATGAACTAATTAACTCATTATTTGAAAATACGGTTTGACTCGTCCTGCTCACAAGAAGTGATAATAATATTGTAATTCGTATATGATAATATTGGAAATAATTATGGGGTTTAACCTCACGTTTAACTACTTTCTTTTTGATATTACGTGACTGGGTAACTATTCAGACAAATTCTATTTTCGTCACGCGAACGCTGGAACAAGCTCATATTTCGCTCATGTGCTAATCTTACACGCATCCATGAGACGTGACCTACCAACACGTGTCATGACCTTCCGTGGGGCACGCCGACACCCAGGCCCCGCACCCAAACCCCTCTTCGCCGCCTCCGCGGCCGCCGCGTGGCAAGAGCCCCCGTGTTCTCCCGCGGGTTATATGGCTTTAGGAAATCTCGGCCGAACGCCGCGCCGACGACGGAGACGGAACGGGAAAAAGTGAGGAAAATAAACCAGAAGGCACGAATAAAAAGACACAGAATTTATGTCGGTTGTTTCCTGTTACCCTCAATAAGACTTCAATGTTCTTGAGAAGAGAGGAACCGAGAGTACAAAATCAC